CAGCCACGTGCTATAAATACTGCACTCCTGGTGCCACCATCACCTGTATCTGCGAATGTCTCTGAAGATGGATTCGAGTGAGGATCCGAAACGTCAGGCAAATAAATTTCTTGTTCCAGTGTTCGCATCTTCATCTTCTGAACTGCTACCTGAAACTCGCCTGTTCGCTTCTATCAGCTATCTGTGCTTCCTCCATTTACTTTCTATGCCTACCTACAGTGAATATGGCCGTTACAAGTTGGCGATGGGGATACTCGCAACCAAAATGGATGCGGAAGTCGATTGGAGGTAATGCAGTATTCGGCAAGCATGTAAGTACAAACCCTTTTCGAGCACACCTAACTGTTGACTGCGGTTGATGTGTCAAGCCACTGCCCAAGGCAGCCAGAGACGATTTTCTGTACTGCGCTGTATGTCTAGTGTGTTGTTCCCTTTTCCTATATTTTGAGTAAATATTACATTTTTCTATTGCAGTGTTCGGGCTTGCGATACTGGTAAGCATCCATATTAAGGGAAGGTTTGATACACAGTTAAGTAAAGTTCAATTGCAGGACTGCGTTAGCGGATGGGAACCGGTTGTGGGCTAACGGTAGAATCGAAAGGACGTTGTCTGCGGACTGGACAGGTATCTCTAACAAGGGTAATGGAGCCATCAACGCACGGTGAGGAGGGTGACGGATCGACTACCCGGGAGGCTGGGTAGGTGAACATGTTCACCGATGTAAAGTAAGGCAATGACAACCAGTGAGCCTCGTAGGTAAACCCTTACGGGGCAGAAAGGGCATGATTACGGAAGGCCTTTGGAGCGGGAAGGAGATGGCGAGCGGGTAGGGGCTTAGGCAACTGTCAACCACGGCAGGCGCTAAGGATGAATCGGGGTAGATGGGGACGGTTGACTTGAACCACCCGCCGTGAGGGGCATATCAGGTCAACTAACGAAAGTAGTTGGTGCTGAAGATGGTAAGGGAGTATTTGGTAATCATGTATACGCCTGGAGGTGGATGGCGGGCCTGAAGTGCTAGTGAACTGCCACCGTAAGTTATAGTCTGACTGACGGAAGGAGGAAAGCTGGCGCCTCCCTAAGGAGAACTGTGGTATGCGTGGGATGGAGGTAAGCTGACCGTAGCCTAAAACTAGTGGGCGTTTCGGGCTCAACCAAGCCTGCTGGGAGATGCAAGTGCTAAAGGCGACGTTGGAGGTGGAGGGAGAGACTTGTGCAGTAGTATGCGAGGCAATTTAATTAACCGAATGATGATGACAGGAAGCCGGCCTAAACCACGAAATCGGCAACCCAGCAGTTAACAGCGCAATTGCCGCACGTGCGAACTACCTGGACGTGGTTTAAGAAAGGAGAGGTGTATGTGTGTAAGGATAAAAAAGGGGGCATTGTGTAGCGGACTTAAATGTTACGTAACGGTAGAATGTGCACCCCTTTTCCTCAGCCCTACCGAATTCGTTCAGTAGGAAAGGTAACGGAGGGGTAAACCTGTGGCCGTCTGTTTGGCCGCTGTCTCCTATTCTTCCACATCTATTCGACACGAACCGTTTCAGGTTGTCTGCCGTGCACCAACGAACTACCCTTAAGACCTACGCGCAAAAACGTGCTGGCAAAAGCTGAGTTCTGTGTTTGCTGTCAAAATACGTTGACACAAGCGGTCTGTCGTGCGTTGCCGACCTCGGGTGGGGATCGCAAGTCGCATGGCCTTCAATAGAGCTGTCGAGGCCTTCTGGCTAAATCCTTTCTTAAACGGAGCTTTGAATGTTCACTTAATGGAACGTAGAGCATGCGCGCTGGGGTGCACAAGGAGGGTGTTCCTCTCCGGCCCATTGTATCGCTCAAAGGCACTCCAACGTACGGACTGGCAAAATGGCTGTTTCGGCGCCTCAAATTTCTGACCGCTGATTCGAACAACACCGTCTGTTCGTCAACACAATTCCTGGAGAAGCTTAAAGGAGTAAGTCTCTTGCCAAATGAGGTCATGGTATCTTTCGATGTCACGTCCCTCTTTACTTCTATCCCCCAGGATCTGGCAATCGAGACCGCCGAGCTACTCCTACGAAGCAAATACAATGAAACGGATAATCGTATCGGACATGTCCAAGTCCTTCAGCCCCTAAAGTTCTGTCTCAGGACGTACTGCACGTTTGACGGAACAATCTACGAGCAAGTGAAGGGAACACCAATGGGCTCGCCGATTTCGGGATTCATCGCCGAGGCGGTCCTACAGCGGTTGGAGTCGCTGGTCTTCCAACACCACAGACCGAAATTCTGGGCTCGGTATGTGGACGATACCTTCGTCGTTATCGAACGGGATCAGGTGCTAACGTTCAAGGAACGTCTCAACAGCGTCTTCCCGGACATACAATTCACGATGGAGGAGGAAGAAAATAACCAGCTGGCATTCCTTAATGTCATCGTCTGTCGCAAAGATTGTGGTGGCCTAAAGACCAAAGTGTTCAGGAAAGCGATGAGCAAGACGCAAATACTGAACTTCAACAGTAACCACCCAATCAGCCACAAACGCAGTTGCGTGAGAACGCTATTTCGGCGTGTTGAGACGCACTGCAGTGAACCGGAAGACAAGCTTGCCGAATCCCAATATCTTCGACGGGTTTTCAGAGAAAATGGTTACCCGCGCAACTTCGTCAACCGGTGTATGCGCAAACGAGACGAGAGACAGAACCGTGCCGACCCCAAATTCTGGCGAGCGATCCCGTACATCAAGAACGTCTCCGAAGCCGTTAGCCGCCTTCTTGCACCACTTGGGGTTGGAGTGGCACACAGACCGGAGGCCACCATTACGCGTCAGGTGATGAGACCAAAAGACCCACTGCCACGGCAGGAAACATCTGGAGTCGTTTACCGGATCTGGTGCAGTTGCGGACAAAACAACTACGTCGGAGAAACTGGAAAATTGCTCCGAACGCGAATTGCCGAACACGCGGCAGCGGTACGGAGAAATGCCGCCAACTCTCTGGTCGCGGCCCATTCGACGAGACCCGACCACACATTCAAGTTCGATGAGGCCGAAATTCTCGCCAGAGGGGAAAATCGCTTGAGCCGCGAGTTGCTTGAGTCATGGTTCACGGGACCTCAGTCTATCAACAAGTGCAACGACATTCCCACTCCATATTCCGTGCTGAAGCATAGGCTGGCCAAGATAACTGATCACTCGGGGAGCGCGCAAGCCGGTGAGCTACATGACCGAGCAATCATCACGCCAGTATCTAACACGGCTGATGACATTTCGGGGATTAATAATCACGCCGGCCATCAAGCAATTATCGCACCATCGGGCACCCAGCCTTGACGAAGGGGAGCGCGGTTAATTGCTATAGGTATGCGGTAGCATAGCGACTGCATCCTATAAATACTGCAACTTCCTGTGCACAAGTCACCCTTTTCTGCCACTGTCTCTGATGGTGGATTCAAGTGAGAGTCCGAAACGTCAGGCGAATAAAGCCCTTGTTCCAGCGATCGCTTCTTTTTCTGATCAGTTTAGTATTTGTCTGACTTTCGAGACCCCGCTGCAAGAGCGGAGCCTAAAAGTGCATGAAATACCAATAACGCGAGCCGTCCTTGTAGTCTGACCGGGTGTCAGCTCACACGCACTTCCCTGCGCGGGTATCAAGCCCTGCTTACACTCTCTTCATCATCCTCAGCCAGCGATTGGCCAAGTAGACTTGCCAGTGAAATTGTTCCTATGGTGCGGAACCCCGTTGGTCCCAATACCGTTGCCATGTACTGGGAATTACCATGTGCTACCCTCAGCGTCCTTTCAGTTGTGACTTCGCCCTCCCCCTCCCATATTCTGTCGGGGAGGGGGGAGTGTGTACAGGCCACCTACACTCGCTTTCCTGCGCGTGCTTCGAGCACTGCTTGCGCACATTTTCCCTTCCTAATCCAGCGTTAACAGAAATATTTTAGGTTAACTTACTAAAACAATTGCAAAATGACATTTCCAAACAAAGACATGGGAGACCGGGATTTCCACTTCTGACATATTAGCCGTCATCAGCCAGTCATACCCAACCCCGAAGTGTGGAACATCT